GTCTGTGCGTCGCATTTGCTGAGTCGTAACAGGCACTCTACAAAGGTCCGCCTACTTGCTTTCTTTCGCGTAGCAGTACGAAGTGTGCGTCAATTAAGCGGCATAGACGTTGTGCGTCAGTCCGTCCGCAGAATTTGGATGTGTGCGGTTACTTGAGGCTAATTTCCCCGGGATGTTGCAACCTGTTCGCCCGTCTACCCTAAGCGCGTAACACAGTTCAGGGATCAGCTTACGCAACAATTAAGAGCGAAGATTGGATCGTCGCGTCATGGAACTAGACCCATTTGGTTAGTGATCGACGATTTCAAACTAGCGTGCGACAAATCTATAACTGTTTGAGGTCGACATTGTTACAGTGGCCAGAATATTAGTTTTGAACCATGGCGGATGCGTATGGACGTGTGAAGTTGATGTTACAAAAGCAACTGTTTTTGTTGTCTGCGCAAGCCGACAAAATCTCCGGTTCTTCCCTTTAGCCAAGTTCGATTGGAAACTCGCAAACTGTCAAGCAGTGGTTAGCTGTATCTCCGAGCTTATGTATGCCACTTTCGTTACCGCAATCTTTGAGGTTTGATATGAGGACTTGTTCACCGTTAATCGGGCCTTCCAAGATGATGCGTGAAAGGTACGGCTGCTTCTCTGCAAAACTGGCGCGGTCGCGGATCAGCGTTATACCACCTTCAGGTTGCTAAAGAACCCCTGAGACGTTACATTTCGTGAGACGGTCAGAACGCTGTTGCGTCTTTTTGGCGAGCAATCCTCACTCTTCTGTACTCGGTTTCAGTGACAGCAGTTGGTCAAGCGCGCTGCCGACGCGGGAATCATCGGTAGGAAACGTGAGTGAGTTCGGTTTGGACCCGTCACACTTCTGGCATCCAGTCCGCCCACGACGCCGACGTCAGAAAGCCCCTCTTGTGCAAGGTGCAACACGACTGCATTGTCAAGCTCCAAAAGCTGGCTGATAAGTGTGAACTGCTGCTGAAGCTGATGCACAACTCCGCTCTGGTCCAAGACGCCTGCGCTACACGTCAGGTCGATGCATTCTCAGTATGGGATCCGCAATCTACTGGGAGGCCTACCTAATCCAACTAGAGCATAGTCCTTACCGTATGCTGGCTATACTGTGGTGTTAAGTATTTTCAATGAGGCTGCAACCACGGCCAATAATGATACGAAGGATGTGATAGGACAGCGTACAATGATAGCTCTTGCAACCAGATGACAACCTAGGGGTCCAAACCTAACGCGACCGTAACCCACAGTCACACATCAACCAGGTAGACTAAACGTAGACAACCTCCCCCGCCACGTCAAAAGAAGAGGCCCCGAGAAAGACACACTCACAACTGTGGTCCGGTTGGCGGCTCCCTGAGCCTACTGCCCTCATGTCAAGTCTTTGTCGCCGGCTGTAGGATGCTCATCGACGTCTTGCACAACAGTCAGCCTACCAGATTGCAGTTGGACATTGCCTCGGACAATACCATCATCTACGAGAATCCATGGCGATTTCTTGCCAAGCCACCATTCGACAAAACAACCCAATCAGCCTCCAGCCACTGTGATGTACTAGTGCCACTAACTGGGCACCTATATATCGCAGTCACCTTTGAGGTGCCGTATTCGATTCGACCTGCTCCGTTACAAAGCCGAAGCTCAACCTACTTGATCTAGCTGGGCTTTGCTGGTCTGTCTATTTCGGCCATCTGCAACGTGATACGTTCTCCGAGAATACTCATCGCCAAAGCGGACAATATCACCGAACACTTCGGCATAGTGTTTCAGAGTGATTTTGGCCATTGTACATGCATTCTCATTGTGGTGCAGCTCGCAACCGGAGCCCAAGCAATATTACGCTCCAAAAGGTCTGTCCCATACGCAGTCCTGCCGTTGATCGAAACCAAACTCAACCTCTTGAATGACATGGGCGTCTTGATATCTGTGTCCCATTCCGCCTGGGCTGGCCCGATCGTTGTGACAAGGAAGTCGAAGTTATCCCTTCGCATTTGCGTCGATCCCTCTACGGGTCTCAACGCCGCGCTGCAGCCAAACTTCTATTCACTACTGGTCCAAGCACATATCTTCACAACACTCGACAGTGTCACGCGCTGCGTCAAAATCGACCTGACAGACAATTACATGAAGCTCGTAGTCATCCTTGTGTTACAAGCCCTGCTGACTAGCACGCAGACATCGCGATGTCCTCTGGTAGAGCTGCTTGGCGTCAAGACCGTTCCGGGCTTTTTCTAACCAACCATGGATACGGTGGTCGCTAGTATTCCGGGTAAGACCACTTACTTGGATGATTTTCTAATCGTTAGTAGATCCCCAGAACAGCTACGTGATCGCCTAGCCGCGGTTCCTCGACATATTCAGGAGTATGGAGTTTGCTTGAAAATAATAAAATGCGGTAGGCTGTGCGCGTTAAACTTGTCAATGCGGGGACTGCACAAACTGAATGCAGCTTCTTCAAGAGGACGCCAATTGTCAAGTGGAATAATGTAGCCTGAACTACAAGCCGTCAGCAGTAATAGATATTCGAGGGTAAACAACAATATTTGAAGTTAAAATGCACATGTAATAAACTGATTTCGTTTGGCCAACGATTACATAGCAGAACCAGGGGCTTGCTGGAGAGAAAAATTCGACTTTGTTTCAATGAATAAAGTTAATGGCTGGGATAGGGTCGAAGATACAGATTGGCGCGAAGTGAAGGTAGGTACATTGAAAACGACACCTTATAACCCGTCAGAGTAAAAACTCTTCTAACACTTATGCCGCGGGTTGCTCGCGGTGTTCATTAAGCATTGGATCAAGGAATGAGCCATAACCCTCAGCTCCAATCATCTTTGCCCGATGAGCACAAGAAAGGGGGAAATCGGCGTTTGAGTGATGTTGGGAGTGGGTAACAAGTAATCTCGCCACTTCGGAGGAGTTTCTAGTGATTCAAGTCAATGAAGTCGCTCTCAAAGTCTTTCAAATTCTGGATATTATCGTAACGAAGTTAACGTGCGCTCCCCGCAAACCAAGGTTGATACATCTTATGTCGCATTACGTGGTTATATATTCCCTACCTCAATGATGGTGCCTCTTGCCGACAATGTAGTACACTTGGCCCGGTACAACTTTGCCGGGGTTGGCGTTGGACTTATTTGTAGAAGGTAATATCTCGATTCGGTCTAACATTTCTGAACAACCGGTCGAACGCGTTAACTATCGTGACTGTCATCTGCTCGTAAGGGGATTGGTACAAACCTAAGTCTCATGAGGATAGCTCAGAACCACGAGGGCTGTCACAAGAGGGAAAGTGAAATCAGAAGCCATGGTCGAACTTGCGCAAGGCACTACTGTACGAGTGAGTTTCAGGCGTTCCGAATGGCTTATCATGAAATTCCAAACAGGAAGAGAAATCTATGTGGTCATTTCGCCCTACTAAAATACATCGGTATTGAGCAGTCTACCAGAGATGGTTTGATTCGGTAGATTGTACCACTGGGCCAAGAGTGACAACTAAGGCCAAGTGGCAAAGCCAATAACCGGGTTTCAGTCCCTCGCCCTATGCAATAACATGCTTATTAACGCTGTGCATAAAATGGGTTGAATTCCATGGATATTTCTCCTCTGATTAAGCCGTCTGTTTTACCAGGTTATTATAACCTGCTGTGGCAATCACTACACCACGGTTGACAACTTAATCACGTTAGCCACCGCCGTCACTCGTAATTCATCACCACAAGCATCTGAATACAGGTAGAGCGGTTCTGGTAAAAGTCCTGGAGAATTTGGGGGGGGGGGGGGGGGGGAGAGAATATGTGCTCTTGTCGTGATCTATGGAGACAGCACATCCGTCTATCTTTATTCCAGAAATGATGTCTGTATGATGTTAGTGGACTGTGATGCATCGAAATGAATCCGTTCAAGCTGTCAAGAATAGGCTCCATGCATCCATTAAGTTTGTACCTTCAGAAAATGGTGCCTCTTACACAGTGAACAGCAAGAGTATGCAAATTTAAGTTCTATTACTCGTGAGTAGCAGGATAATAGATGTATTTATCCCAGTGGTTCACAACCTACATAGCACAGCATAGTCCGCAAAAACATGTGACACGTTTTACCTATTGGGGCTCGTCAGTGGTGCGCAACCCCTCGGTCCCGTACTGGGGATGGAACGCATGACCACTAGAGGCATATGCCAACTAGCCAGCAGCTTAAACCACTGAGCTATGCGGGACGTTGGCTAAACCACATACTTTGCAAGCTAACTGGTTTCGAACCCCAACAGGGGACCGAGGGAATGCGTACCCCTGACGAGCCCCAATTGTGCGAAAGGCCTCTGGTGCTTTTCCGTACTAGGCTGCGCTATGCAGTTGGTGAACTACTGGGATAAATACCTTAAAAAATTTAAATTAACCATCCAAAAATATCCAGTGAGAATATAGCACGTGTTATGAATTTGTCGTGTTTACATGAAAAGCGCAAAGGTACGGTGAACCTATCCAACTAGTTCATAGTCAAAGTAGGGAAATCGGCTTGACTGATATTGGTATCTGTGTTCATTCGTGATTGTGAGAGACACATGCGCTAGTTAATGGCTCATTGTGAGGAGTTAACAAATGGCCGAAATTTCTATAGCACCACGAACAAACAACACATATGCAGGGTACAGCTACTTCCTTGTCTAGCTAACACATTTACTAGGTGTTTGGATCATGGTGCTACAGATTCGAAGGTGTTCGATTTCGTGTTTGCCTTTGTGTTAAGCAAAAATACTCTGGTTATAGACCGCTGGTCCATAGGTTTGCAACTCAGTCATAGGTCTTGTTTTGCATCTAGCTTCAGCGCAGGATGATGGGTCTTTCATCCAACAGCTATATCAAAATGGCATACCATTGAACTAATGTAGACGTGAAGAAAATTCCGAAGTTCCCAAATGGTTTGTTTGATTTTAGCATAATAAGTGAAAAAAGACCGAAGACATTTCCAAATGTCGTAGGCCAACTCACCACATTTGTATTTCCAGCACCGTAACCCGTGACGAGATAGAGGATGTTTTCACATAGAATTGGTGCACGACCTTTGGTACAGAGTTCCTTGCCAAAAATTGTTAATAAACTCTTTTCCGGTAAGAATTCTCCGTGATTAAACAAGCGCAATAGGCCTCCCGTATACCATTCTAGCGGTGCAAGAAACCGAAGTGGACTTCTTGTGCGGCCAAGGTAAGCGGCAGGAGCAAACGCAATAAACACACTGATATTGGACTGAAGGGTTGCGTTGTGACTGAATTTGGTCAATGCGATCTCACAACCCTGGGAGAAAAATACAGACAGAAAAGCCGGTTGAAGAAAGATGTGGTTAGGTGAACGTCACCGGCGGCTACCAACTACCAATAGATCCCAGTCACGCATATTGTCACATCTTGCAATTCAGTCAGAACACAACAGGAGACGCAAAAGCTTAACACTAAGTCAACAAAACGGTCGTACCAATCGCAAATTACTAACTGTGGAACACACTTCCAGACTCAGTTGTCTTTGCCATTTGCTTGGTCCATTTCAAAATGCGCGTGGATACTGCACCCATGTATCCACAGTATGTGCAGGTGGCCCGGAGTGAATACCGGTTAACCAGCTTTTGGAATTATACTTCATTCCGACACACGCAGGTCAGTGCAGATGTGTGAGCAGCCCGGTTGTTCTTTTCCATGATAATTAGGCATAATATCTTGTTGTTCTGTTTGCAGATTGTTATTCCATACCCGAAATTCCCTTTCGATTATGGCATTGTCACGTCGCTCCATTGATACACATCTTACTTTCTCCACTTGTGTCGTCTTCAGATTTATACCTCGTCCCATTATCAACCAGCGAAAATCATCAACCTGTGCGGTTCCAAGTGGCAGCCCCATAGCTCTCATATGCCTCAGTGAATAAATATCTTTCCCTAACTACTGGCAACTTGCCATCTAAGCAACAGAAAAATAGCAGTTAGCTTAGACAGAAATGTAGCCCACAAAATATAATGCAAATATACTGCGCGTTAAAACGCACAACTGCTGTTTAGATAGTTCTAGAAAGAGTAGTCAAGAAGTAGGTTGTTCAATTTCTAACCCAACAGATCCCGATCAATTCCGCACAACATGGTATTCTCTGTAAGCGCTCTCGCGTATTGTGCCAGCTACAGATATGCAATCATTTTACAACTATGAGTTATTGAGGAATACGGATCATCATAATTCCCTTGAGCATGAAAAAGGCTTTCAACCGCGTGACAAATAAGCCCCTGTTATCCATACTTGATTTGTATGGCATTGGAAACCCCTTGCGAAGCTGGTTTAACTCACAGCTAAATGACCCAGTCCAACGTGTCAGAAGAGGTCAGCAGTATTTTACGTAAAAACTAATAACCAGCAGTGTCTTCCAGGGAATTCTGGCGGGACGACTACTTTTCCAATCTACTTACATAACATATGTGATCTCATCAAAAAAAGACGCTCATTATTGTTTGCACTTGGCGTCAGACTGGTTTACTCATTTCAGCCAGATCAACTACAAGTGTACCTAGAAAGCATAAGCGAAGACGGCTCGCAGTGAATATCTGTAGTGAACGTGGTTACTGAAATTATCCACAAGCAAATTCCAGGTATTTGGGCACAGATGCCGCATCCAGGAAGGCTTTATCACGCTTATATTACACGATGGAAAAACAATCTCTTTCTTCTATTCAGCGACCCAATCAAGCGGGTGTTCACGAACTGTACAACTCTCAAGCTACAGAAAGCTGTTGATCGGTGGTCGAAAGAATGGTACGTCTTGCTTGCAATATCTACTTCATCGCTTCCAATCCGCGTAGGGGCGGGCGCCCTCGCGTCCTCGAGATCGGTGGTGGTCGCGTAGCATCGAAGAGTCAATACAGTGTATCTTTCGTTATTATTATTTTAATTTATTTTCCTCGTAGTGGCGACCAGTTTGTTACCCTTAGAGCATGTTAATCGTAAAAGCTGACCCACCTTCATTTTAGTGAGATATGTCAATCTGTGGAACCGACTACCACTACAGGTACACACGTGTGCTAGTCATGCCATATTTCGAAATTCTCACGAGACTATCCTCACCATCCCGAATGTGTTAGACACGGCTCACAAAAATCACCAGAAACCTTGAGAGCAGCTGGTCTACATAACATGTGCGCAGCCGGTATCCTAGGGTCAGCATACCCTCTGGTTGTCATTAGCGGTGAAGTTATATACCTGCCTGTGCAATCTACTCTCGCCTACTATACATTTCATGGTTTCCGAGTTTTATTTCCTAGCAATTTGGAAACGATGGAGCGCTTATTCGCACGCTTTACATTTATAATGACCGGATGGATTATCCGAAATTATAGTTTCTTTATTTATTTTTCCTATTAATTCTTAAGCAGCATAAAACATGACATTGATCCTTTGTATAAATAATCGCTCCCGTTTAGAGGTCGTACACTGCTTGCTAGCAAAAATAACGATTTATTTGATGAAACAAGTAAGTTATTTACATGTTACCCATGCTTCTTTTGCACGTCCTAAACTAATTCTAAATGTCGAGTAAAAGTTTGGTTACGTTATCACTGACCAAATAGGCCAATAAACCACCTAAACATCGTCTCTCACCAAAAACGATGTTATTTAAGATAGCTCGAGCAGTGTTAGCGTGGATGGAATGATTTACGAATTTGGGATAGAGCATTTTCACAGAAGAACTAGAGTGAAGTTCTCAAATGTCTTTTTAGCACAATAATTACTACATCCAGTACTAAGTTTAGACACGAAGAAAGTTCAATAATTATATATATATATATATATATATATATATACCCACTGGTAGACATCTTATTCCACCCCGTTATTAACTGCTTAAGAATGTACACGATGATGTGCGGGAAAATATTAAGGATAGAGCCATAGCACACTTAGACTCTAACAATTCTCGGAGTACAATCCTCTTGAACTCACGTTTGACACACAATGCAGGCGATCTAGTTTTCACTAGGTCGACTAGGAACAAATTGTTTCCCACAGACCAAGTATAGTCATTCATCAGACTCTACGATGAAGAGCACGGTTTTGACTTTTTCTCTTTACTGCCCTTCATCTTGGGTCCTTTCTGTTGCTGTCGCTTTGAATTTTGTTGTGAAATAATACCCCGAGAAAACATGAGATGTAGGACGTAGCGAACAAGCTTCGTTTCAGGGGATCATCATCAGGCTAGTACAGCCACAACTGTGTACTTCAAAAATTAACACGTGAATCACAGGCGTTTTTGTTGTAGGGAACTTATACATGGTGACGCTGTTAATACTTCAGCAGCTTCACCTTTGTGGCATGCTTTCTACTTGCTTGTGATTGCTGCTTTCGAAGTGGCATACATGGTTTCAATAATCTCAATTTCAGCCAACTCTGATAGCCTGATATTACAAGAAGACTAGAGGTTTCGCTCCTTAACTGACACTGAAACATCAGGCCTACTGCATCCAGAGGAGATCAAGGCTGAAGATGAAGGCAACTGTTCATGATATATATAGATACAGCAGTTAGTATGTTAATACTGCATTCAACACACGCATCTGGTCATGCGGACTGGACTTGTGCATGGTCTGCAAATGCAGTGAGTTTGGTTTAAGGTAAGTAGACCAGGATGACTTGCTTGGCACAAATATCCTGCGGCTCATTAAACTGGACAGAAACAAAAGGATACACGTTTAAAACAAGGTGCTTAACCGACCAAATCCCGCAAGACTCAAAGCCATTTGAACAATGAACAATGAACAATGAATTTATACGGGTTAAGAAGCGTTGCTTTACAAGCCCCGTTGGATAGTTGGTGGGGATATCAGCATAACAATTATGATGAAAAGGATAGTAAAATAGTTAATACTTTAAATACGAAAATAAGGACTTATCGTTTGCTTCGCTGCAGTTCTGCGGTCCACTTAGATTCACAACACCCACAGTTAACAACAAATAATTCCAGGGTAAACTCCAGGTGTAGGATGGAGACATAGTGTTAAGTAACAAAGTGTAAGTGGATGAGTGCATCGTCCAATCGTCTTTTAAATATTGTTAGTGTCGGTGCAGAGACGACCGATTCTGGGAGAACATTCCACGGGTGACAGACACGGATGGAAAAGAAATTTCTGCGGCACTCCAGACGACTGTATTTGAAGCGGTATCAAGGATTGTCCATTTTCTGAAAGCTTGTTCAACTATTGAGGCTAGATCAAAAGACGAGACTGGTTGAGGGGTGATTAAGCATCCCATAATCAGGAAAGTTATTAAATCCCGAATTCAAATGATTAAAAGATAGGTAACTGGTGGCGATATGTACAACGTGTTTGCAATGTCAGCATGGTACTGTAGCTAGTAGACGCCAATACTAGAGCAACGAGAGGCATTTGAACTTTGTTGGCCATGGAGTATTAACAAAGCAGGTTCTGTCATCTAGTTTAAAGTTCTCAGTGAAATGTTTGAGCATTTCTTGAAGTGCACAGCATCGGGTCTCCGGAACTCTGGGACATACAATGGATAAAGCGTTCCACTGCTTATAAGTATCTTTCGGAGGAGCATGAGTAGTGGTCGGGATACCAGACGACTTGCAATGCACCAATGCAGCGTCGCCTCACACATTATTCTTGAGAGTATTGGTAGAAGATGCTGGGTACGACCGCGACCAGATTGTCATGCATATTAGATATTTTCCTGAGTTCCGGCACATTCCAGTGAGAGGAAGTGGGTTTTAGGGAAAAGGTTTGGGCATGTTTGGGTGATTTAGAGAATTTATCAGAAGTCAGTTTTTTAATGTAACACCTGGCGTTATGGATTGGGCTTGCAGTGGAGTTCGGTAGAGAAGTCTGTATAATACATTGCGCTATACTTGTTCCTACTGAAGTTAGTTTGGTTCTGATTATTTTCTAAATCACTTCTGCTAGCCTTTCATACTTCGGGGATAGTGCAATTGCGTCCTTAATTATTACGACGGTATTACACTTTCGCAGAAAAACAAATGATCCTGGCCTGTTGCTGGGCAGATCAACCTCGCTTAGCGTGATATTTCCACATTTAGCATGGAAGTAAGAGAAGCAGTTGTAACATGAAATTCAAATTTGGACCAACGGCAGGTTCCGCATGCACCTTTAGGCACTTCTATACTCCTACTTTGTTGTCGCACTGACTCAACTCTCCTCTGATTTTGGATTTATTAAGCACAAATTCCCGACGGATTACTGTGCAACCCATTGTGCTTACACTTATCCAATTCGGATATACCAGAGCTATTCAGCGGCCCTACCGCTACACGAATGTCTAGCACACGCAACCGTTGCATCCGTTACTACCAGCTCAGCAGAATTTCACAGAAATCTATACGGCACCCATCTTATATGCGAGTACATAAACTTCTTTTTACTCCTCTCATGGTCAAGCAACATTGTTTGACTGTTTCGACTCAAACGGTTCATTGATCGCTACTAATGCAAAGCGAGCGCACTGTACCCAAATGGTTGACGTTGGACGCAGTTAGTAACGCAGCAAGGAGAACCACAATTTGTACATGGTCCACATAACCTCAGGCATATGCTATTTGCGATTCAAAATCGTGCTCCAAGACTATTCGAACTGAAATACTATGTCGTAAACGCGGTAAGAAACGTCATCCCAAATGCATTACTTGCAGTGAGAAGAAAGCAAAATATCGACACTGCACATGTGCCTCCGTTTGGTTCGGTAGAGCGTGTATGATCAACCCACTCGTAAAGTGCATCGCCGTGTTGGCACAGAAATTTGACAAAATGACAGCGCCTTTGCAGCGTGCTATGGCTGTTATAGCGGTTGCATTGGAAAACTTTGCAGCGGAACACCATTTCACTTGCTTAAACTTGTGCTCAAACTGGAAACAGAGTAGCCAAATCAAGTGCTTATTCAACAGCTTAAAGTCAGCTACCTCAGCCAAGAGAACTAGAAAACAGGCGGGTAACCAGGGAGGCTTACAAAACTCGTTGACTCCTACGTTGCAAAAAGTAGATTTTTATAGGGTTGTGTCTGTGCCACATGATATTCCACAGCATTCGGATTTATCTAGCATTACCGAAGGTATGACAACGTACACATCCATTACCGATGCATGCACCTCCAAAGCGAAGTTTGCGGTTACGTTTGCAACAATTCAAAAGAGTTAAACAAATGACGCGAATATTAATGCGCTTATAAAAGCCAGCCTGCTACGCCACCAGAAAAAGAAAGTGCGCTATTCTCCAAAGTCATAAAGACTAGAAATACTCAAAAGTAGATAAACATAATACGCTCTAATGTGACTGAGCCAAAGCAGTTTATCAACTGTAAAATATTGGATGACCTGAAGAAATTGGAGTGCACAGCCAAACAATGGAAATCCGGTCGCAACAAGCTGGGATGTTTCGCATCATCCGCTAGTTCACTATGGTGAGCAAAGTTTAATTCAGGTCACATATCACTTGGATGATTCTTTATGTGATTCTTTAGGTGAGGTTCGTTTATCCTCTGACAACCCTCGGAGTTACCGTCGTCAAAAGAAGGAAAACGGGTAGAATATCACAAGCGAAACAAATAAAGCTAGATGGTTGTTCAGTCTTCCGACCAGTCGCGGGCCTAAGCTCATGACTTAGGTGAACGGTGCTGCATCCGCGAAACTTTCTTTCTCTCTACAAGGTGATTATCAACACAAATTAAAAGTAGTCCATATCTCCCAGTGGTACTGAAAGCTCTGCTCTGCTGCAAACAAACAGTTGAAATAGTGCTCAGAAGTGTGCTCAAGTCACTCAACAAACTGTAATCAGAAATACGACCAAAGTCGGTCGAAGCCATGCCACTAGTAACTTATGGAGCACAAAACTAGGAAGATGTTGGCGTAAGCCATGCTGTCTGCATTTACCAACCGGATTGTGGCGCAACTACGCAGCCTTCCGAAGGAGAAGACGTGAGCAATGAACCGTAATCTGCCTCAGAAAGCCTAGTTAGTGGGGACTCCATGCAACATCTCGAAACGGCTCGTGGCTGTAGGCTAGATATACATCTAAAAAACGTTTATAAGCCGGTCGTGCAAGGGTCGGTGCAAATTCGTGGGAAATGTTTGTGTTATCAGAAATGTTTCTGACATCCGTTGCTCCTAACTGCTTGTACACAAAGATTTTCTCGGTATATCAAGTGAGCTTCGATTTCGTCGAGCTTCAATTGTCAGAGTCTCATTAATGCAACCAAAATATGGCTGAACGACATGATTACCGACGCTGACATCTCCTTACCTGCTCACTACCTGCGCAACGGCCAACATATCAACCGCGTAAACAACCTAGGGATCTAAATAGTAGACGCCTTATCGTGTTGCCTACACATTACGCACGGAGATATATGCTAGTGGTCTTAGTATAACGCCTACCAGTGTCCACATTAGAATTGTACCTAGTTTTAGTCTTCACTATGACGTACTTAATGCTGAGATCTTAAATCCAGGTTCTCTTGGTAGGGAAACTCAGCTTACACGAACCAACAACCCCGGCCACTCTAGATGAGAAATTCATGGCTTAACTACTCAATGTTATCGTGGTTTCAGCAATGTACAACCGTGTCACATCGCCAACGGGTTTCAGTGCTTGAAAACTCTGGTTAAATTGGACCTGGTTTTGCCCCGACGATGAACTCAGGATCCACGTTGTAACA